GGGCGCGGGCCCTCCCGGGCTACGGGCGGTGGGGCCGGCACCCGGTGGGGATCAGCTCGCGGGCCGCGTCGAGCCGCTGCGGAGGGCGCGGGCCAGGGGCCTCCGTCGAGGCTTCTCTGGGGGTGCGCGGCCTGGCCGGGGCTGCCGCGGGGACCCGGACCCGGAGGCCCGGGGTTCGCGCTCGTTAGGGGCGAGGGAGAAGCATGGTGCGGGGAGGACGTTGGTTTGGGGGCGGGGAGTTAGAGCATAGGGCTGAACCTGGACGACTTTTATTTTTTTTCTGGCGCTTAGGAATCTTATTTTTATGCCCCAGTCACGGTGGTTTGGCATGTTGCGTTGAATAAAGCTCCCTGACTCGTTTAATTAAATAAAAAAAAAGTGATGCGTTGCATGTGTTTTAGGGGAGGAAAGGAACGCAGTTGGTAGCGCAGCATCTTCCTGAAAATGTTCATTCCGGTCATTCTGTAGCGTTTACTGAAAACCGTGTGAGGTTGTGTAAGGCCTTGCGTTACAGGGATCCTTTGCGGGCCCTTCCCCACTCGCTCACCGCACATCATACATTCACGTAGATACTTACATAGCTGTTCACGCGTTTGTTAAATGCATGGAAACTGCATGCCCAAGCTTTGCACCCACTAGCCAACTAGTGGACGTTTAGGAGAAATTAGGAAGGAGAAAGACCCCAGGCCTAGAATCTACAGTAAGTGTAATGGATAACAGCCAGTGGCAGCAGAGTCGTTGCTACAACACGAATATCCCTGTACAGATCATAAAATGCCAAGAAACCTGAAAGAGTCTCTTGGATTGCGGTGGGAAGGAGAAGAAAGTTTTAGGAAGTTTCCTGATGTGATGGATATTTGTTTTGCGTTAGAGAGGCATACTTTTGTTAATTCCAGTTTACTTTCTAAATAGTTCAAAATGATACTTGGGTAACTAACACCTCCCCATGACAGTTAGTGAATTCTGTAGAACATGATTGACAGCATCCTTTTGAGAGGCCTTAAAGAAAAGTATTGTCAACTGTGGCTAATGGTGGAGATGTAGTTATTCATGTCAACTTGAAAGCAGTTTCAGGATGTTAGTGTACAGAAACCAGTCTGTAGGGGAAGAAGATTCTAATAGCTAGATGTGGCTGTGATTCTGCACATTATAGCCTCTGGAAAGGGACTGGAGCCTGAGGAGTTGTCATCTTTACCCTCTCATTCTTTGGCAGGACTTGACTTAAGCCAGTGTGTATCCTCAAAGAACTTTAGTTTATCTTACTTTTACAAACTATAAAAGTAGTCTGGGAAGGCCGGGCAGAGTGGCTCCTTCCTGTAATCCTAGCACTCTGGGAGGCTGAGGCGGGTGGATTGCCTGAGCTCAGGAGTTCAAGACCAGCCTGAGCAAGAGAAAGACCCTATCTCTAAAGAACCCAGCTAGAAGTTGTAGCAGGCACCTGTACTCCCACCTACTTAGGAGGCTGAGGCAAGAGGATTGCTTAAGCCCAGGAGTTTGAGGTTGCTGTCGGCTATGATGCCACAGCACTCTACCCAGGGGGACAAAGTGAGACTCTTATCTTTAAAAAAAAAAAAAAGTAGTCTGGGAAAACAATACTTTCTCATGAAATGTAATTCTCTCGGCTGATTATTGCATATAAGCAAGTACTTTGATATTCTGTGGGAAAGCATCTGAGCAATGAAACGTGGCCTAATAAAATAAGATTGTATGCTTTAAAAACTGATTATAGGAAGTGATTCCAGGATCCTTTTCATGTATGTATTTTGGCGTCTTTGGGGTTAAGTCTGTTCTGTTTCCTGTTGTACTTTCCTCAGTGGAGAAGGCATTTATCATTTATTCTCCTCTGATACCCCTGATTTTCTCCTATAATGCATTGTCTTGTGGGCACCATAAGGCATTTGCTTTTTTTTTTT